AAATGCTGACCATGATGGGCAGCCTTTTAAAAATGTTCCAAAGTATCATCAGGTACTTTTGCTGCATCAAAATCCAGTTTAGTCTTTTTCATATACAAAATTTCTTGATGTAATTTAGTCAAATCTAAGGATTCATTAGAATCATGCCAGATTCCCTAGAGATGTACTTTAACTCTCTCCCAACCGATAACACTATCACTATACACAGAAGCTGTAACACATTCATAATTAGCAGGACACTTCAGCTGTGCTCTGGATTTTAAGCTCTGGAGCTCATCTCCCAAACATTGTACCACATCCTATAAGACGTTCAATGTTTGTTCCGTTTTTACATCTGTATCTTCTTGTGTCTCGAATGCCATAGAAACATTGTTAGATAATTGATTAACAAACCCCACATTGTGAAGAGACTGAGACAAAGCCACTGAAGCAACCGCAGTAGTAGCAAGCATAGCAACAAGAGCTGAAGTTCCTGCTATAACTAATACAGCAACATATATCTGTCTACTTAAAGCTTTCTTGATTTCTTCAGTTACCTGCAACCTTTTTTCATCAATCTATGGCTCATTTGCATGCACAGGCAGGCAATATTACAAAAGAAAGTTGTTTTAACACCAATACCCAGGTATGATCATCCACTTGAGAAATAAAATTAGTTAATATGTAATCAGCCTATGACAAATTAAACATAAAAACATGTAAAGAGAGCTTTATCTCCCACATCAAAAGAATATTAAGCATTTTTACATAAACCAAAACAGTTCCTTTCAGGGGGCAACCAGGATTTGAAGAACAGAATTGTCCATTCACTTTTCCCATGACAGCAACAATTTTCCAAGGATACGTCTGTGGAAATTCTGTTCTGGAGTACCAAATTCCAGCTGACAGTCCTTGGTCCCAGGGTTCTGCTCTAGGCATAGGATCATAGTCTTCTTGATCACTATAGGATCGCTATAGTCTTCTTGATTTCCAGACCAGTCAAGAGTGGACTGTGAAGTCCCTGTGATATTGTACTTTAATGGGATAATACCAGTACATCCTCTCCACAACAGAGTTCTGTTAGAGTCTCTCAGTTCCTCTGTGCATGGAGGAAATCATTGAGAGGGTGAAGTACCATTTACCCAATTACCTTGAGGAAGCAGTAACTTTGTATAATAAGTATATTGTTTATCATTTCCCATCATTAATTTTGGAAACACTCCAAGACATCCCTCCAAAGTAATATTCTTTGCAAAACATACAGGAATTCCTTTACCATTCCCAACATGAGAAAATTTTCAAGTAATCAGGAACTCTTGTGTGGCAGGTCAGTCTAACAGATGTGTATCACTGACTGTGACCACAATTTCTTTTCCTTCCCCAACAGCAGGTTGTAAAATTGGTGGATAAGGTACATAGGCCCAATGGGTCTCACTCTGGCTTTTCTGGATTCTCAGCAGCAACATTAGGATCAGTATGTCTCTGCTCCACACACCATACCAATTGAGATTTATTTTCATCCTGTAAAAACCACAAACTTGCCCTCTCCCCATACCACAACAGTGTCAGGACCCTTTCAAAAACTAGTTGATGGATCTTTTTATAGGCCTGAGATAATTATGTGGTGGTGTTTTTTTATATTTATTTATTTATCATGTATACTATATTCTGTCTGTGTGTATGTCTGCAGGCCAGAAGAGGGCACCAGACCTCAATCCAGATGGTTGTGAGCCACCATATGGTTGCCAGGAATTGAACTCAGGACCTTTGGAAGAGCAGGCAATGCTCTTAACCACTGAGCCATCTCTCCAGCGCACTGTGGTGGTGTTTTCATGCAAAAATCTATTCATGGGAGATTGTTTACAGACAACCACATTAAAAAATTAAAAAAATAAATCACAAATATGGTGACTGTGGATATAATCCTAACTCACACTTTTTTATTTTATTTTTAATTGATCCTTAAGACTCAAAGGTACCATTTCAAAATTCCTTGCCACTGAATAGTACAATATCTCAAATCCCTGAGATGAGTTTGTTCCAGAGGCTGATATTGGGGTTTTAGCATCATTACCTGAATGGTACCCAGACAGGAATTATCATTTATTCAAGGCATCAATGACCACACTCTCTGCATGCCTGAAAGAGAAATTCTGCCCTCCCCTTTTTTCATTTCTGTAAGCTTTGTTCTTTAATAAACCATGCAGTGATTTATTCAGAAACCTGTTTTGTGCAGCCCTACAGTAGATATTCTGAGTGACTCAAATCCACTTCCTACAAATGTCTTGCCCCCTCCAAAAAAAGGAAATTACAAAGTGCTGCTGATTGCATCAGAAATGTAATCAGTTCTGTGAATGAGATAAGTCCTCCTAATAGAATTATTAAACAGAAAAGTGGCATATTTCATGATGTCTTTTATAATACACAGTATTTAAAAATTACACTCATCATACTTATAAATTACTTTAAATCCATTAAAATAATATAGTACTAATCTGTAGTCCACACCTTTTCCATAGCAAATGCAAGCACTTTGTTCAAGAGGTGCAACTTTTGTATTTCCTAAGAGGGCTGATAAGAGGCATTCAGAACAGACGGGTACAAGGCAAGAGCTTTACTGAAGTTTAAACCAAGGGATTAACAAAATCCAATACACTGGACATTATCCATTCAACATTTGAGAAATTCCCATTTTATCTAACATTACAGAAAGGAAATAGGGATGTCATACTCATTTCTGTAATTACTTCCTGCTGACCATAGGACACTGTTCTCAGGGTCCTGGAAGGCCAGAATATCGGTCAAAGGCAACGAGGGAACTTGGAAGCATCTGGGTCATACACAAGCTGAAGAAACAGCAATCGCATTGGCTAGGCTGGTTCACACCAGATTTTAGCAAGTTCAGACTCATAGTCATTTGGAGCAGGTTGTCATCAGCAACTGATGCTTGGATGTGTTTGTCAGACAAGTAGGAACCTGTTAAGATAGATACAAATGAGGAACAGGAGTAAAAATTTGGGAACTCATTTGAAAATTGTAAACTTATAGCCCCAATAATTGAGGGAGGGGCAGAGCCCCAACACCAGGAGAGAGAAAAAATACCAGAATCCTTTTAACTTGTGAAAAGTAAATCCAAGTTTTATAATCCTGTCAATATTCTGAAGTTTGTATGAATCATTTTATTAAAATAGTTTTAGATATATTAACATTATCAATCTGCACTGAAATCCATATTGTAGGGAAAGCATTGAACAGGTATCTGTAAAACAGCAGGAGTAGACTCACATCCTTGAGTCCTAGCAAAAAATATACATTTAGGTTAAACAGCACATAAGCCTGTATTCAGAAGACAACCAAAAGAAATTTAAAATCTTGAGCTTGTGACCCAAACAGCAAGAAGTAATTGCTCAGCTAGCTTGTCAGAACTCTATTAAAGTTAAACTCTGAACTTCTGAAATACTGGTTTAATGATATGATGGAAGGGGAAAGAAATTCTGTAATAATTGCTATACTCACCTTAAGCCATTATTTCTTATAAACTGTATTTAGATTTTTCAGAGTATCCTCTCACACCCAATAAGCCAAGCTTTTATGCTTCATAAACTTACAAAGTGTACTGATGTACTCATGCTTTTATATATTTAGATGCTCATAATTCATATCGACTCATAATATAAGCATTTTGTCCTATTATTAACAATTATAGGAGCAGTTAGACTGCAGTTTTCATACCAACCATAGAAGTGATGCTGACAGTCTTTAATAAACATGTTTGGACTTCTCTATGAAAGTCCGAATAGCTAAGAGCTTTAGCCTTGTTATTTCATTGGAGGCCAATCATATAGAACCTTATAATGCAGAGGGCTGCAATATGATGATTAGTTATTAGGACAAAATAGCTCTTAGCAGTTCAATAACCGAAGAGGAGGCCTGGAGCCAGCAATTGATCACACAATAGATTTT